GTGGTGCCCATGTGGTTCCTTAGAATTTTGGGCAGCTTTGGGCTATGAAGCAAACTACATGAAGGCTAGAGCTCAAGTGATACAATTCTTTATTGAAAGCTGACTGAACCCTGGCTAGTATGCATAAACATGCCTACCATGTTCCAGTGTGGGCTACGAGGAAGGCACATTTTGCATTGCATCCTCAAGTGGTCAGCAGACAGTTATTTTGAATGGTCCAGAGGTTATTGACTCCCACTGTAGAGGAGGAATCTGGAGCATTTGAGGACCTGCTGTGACCAACTAGTTATACATGCTGACGATAAATTGGCTCGAATTCAGAGTGTTGTTGTTTATTAAATGTCTATACTGCCCTTCATCTGAGGATCACAGGGTGGCTTGCAATATAATGCATGGAGTACCATTGACTCCGCAGTTCCAGATGAAGGTACCCAATGCCACAGTCAGTGATGTGCTGTGGGATCAGTTTGAACTTATGCAGTCAGCAGATGTGGACAAGGTGCTAGCAGTTGTACGTCTGACCATTTGCTCTCTTGACCTCAGTCCCAGCTGGCTTATTCAACCTATCAGAGTTACTTTGACTAGAGCATGCTGCCTTGAAATAGGTGGTGTGTCCACCTATTTCTAAAGAAACTTCTAAAGAAACTTACTGTGGATCTCTTGGATTGGAATTGATCCAACTGAACTATTGATCCTCATCTCTGACCTTTACAGGGAAAGGGACAAGGGGAGTGTTACCTTGCTCCTGCTTCTTGATCTCTTTGTGACTTTTGATGCCATTGACCTGTTAGCTCTGCTTAGGACTACATATTCAGAGCCATCAGTTTTGGTAGGTTTCACAAATAGAGCAGCTGTGATAGATACAAATGAATGACACTTCCATGCCTGTATCTTTAATGTGGAAGATTCTTGAATCTTTGTACATACTGCTTCTTTAGATAAGGCTGTTGAAAACCTTGGTATTATCAGCAGAGTAGTGGAAAAAACAGCAACTATTGTGCCAAAAAAGTTCTGGCAAACCAATGCTGGAAATGTGTCACGGTGCCTTGCATGAGGAACTACTGATAAAGCAGAGTCCCAGTTCCCCTCCCTCCCAGATAGTTTGTGATAGTATCTCTAGATTTTATGCATAAAAGTCCACCCCCTTGGATCCATTGCTGAAAAAGCTAAAAGGTTCAGTCAGTACTCCGTTCGGGGAGAGAGAGGAGATTGCTTGTTTTCTTCTTCTTCCGTGTTGCCTGCTATCTGCCTGGCTTTGCTTAAGCTACTACGAAGCCTATCTGACTACCCTAAAACTGGTGACTGAAATTTTATTGACTCAATATGCTAAAAAATGTTTCATGGCTGGGTGGGCTACAGTTAATTTACCTTCATTGCTTTGGCAGTTTTGTTAGATATTGGACCTGGAAAGGGGACCAGTTATCTTGTGATTTTATAAGCTATGTGACTTCATTGCTCAGTTCAGTCTTTTTACATTATATTTTAGGTTTTGGCACTTTGCTTTTTTTATTGACTATGGCATAGTCATGATTTATTTTAGTTATTGAGAGTGAATTTTTGTTTAATTATTATTTGGTGGTATTTTGAAAGTTAATTTTAGTATGTATTATTATATCCTATATGGATTATTGAATATTCCTTTTTTGATATAAGTTGTTCATTTTAAAGTCAATTTTAAATATGACTTAATTGCATTAGATCAGATTATTATGATGTGTGATCTTTTGTATATTTTGTATTTGTATAATTTGTTGTTTCTACAGCTTATAAATTGCCTTCTGCATAGCAATATAGAAAGGCAGTATCCAAATTAAAAGTGAAATGAAAATGAAGTGCTGCTCAGTAGTTCATATGCAAATTATATCCAGTTGTTTTAAGTTGTTTTAAAACTAATTATGCATGTTGCTTCATGTTCAAATATTTTATTTTGTGTTATTTTTATTGATTTCATTTTCTATATAACTTCTACATAAGATCTATATCATTCATTATTCCATTTCATATTATTTTATAACATTTAATAATAATTTTAAACTTTTTATAGCAATAAGCTGAGTGATTTGTTACAGTCATAAGTTCACAAATCTGAAGTTTTATTGTATAAACTTTATTCCCTATTACATTGGGTTGCTACTGAGCAAAATCAAACCTTGATTGGAATCTAATGAGTATTGGCATATTGGCCGGTTTGTGGTATGGTGTGCACTGATGCTGATTGGATCACCAGATTAACAGTATCCTTGTGGAATGGGAATTGGGGGCACCAACCTCAGAGAGGACCACTAGGAAGGTGCATGGCACTATTTTATCTTTAATACTATTTAGTAAATATATAAAGCTCCTGGAAGTAGTCACTAGGCGTATGGGGGCAAAGTGCCATGTACTCTGATTACATTGAATTCAATGGGACTTGCTGCTTCGTAGGGATGTATAGGATTGTGTCTCAGTCATTTTAAGGCATAGCATCTCAGAATGTTCTATCTATCCCTTGCAAACACATAAGTCAATTGTAAGTTCTTTGTGGAGGACACTTAAACACAAAACAGGTGCTTTTGATCTCCTTTGTGTACAGGAGGGAGTAGGGGAGCATATACTAAGGGGGGGGAGAAGTAGCAGGTATGGTGGCAGCATATTTGGCTACCCCTCAGCAGCTATTTCCCAGATAGTTCTGTGTTCCCTTAAACAGCTGTTGCAATTATCTTTCTCACTTCTTAATCTGCTGCTAAAACAGACAAATTGTGGTGCAGGGCTAAAAAAACAGTGTCTACCAATACATGTCATGATATAACATTGGCCATTCAAAGCACCTTACCTTTCCCCTTTTATGGTTGTTTTGCCAAAGATCTGCTTCCACATATAATGGATGTGAAGTGGTCATTGAAAAGAAGTTTTTCAAAAGATTAATGTCAGTTTTGAAGAGGTTCCACAAGTACAGTTATTTTTCCAGTTATGTTTCTCTGGCAAGGAAAGTGAGGAAAGGTGCCATTATGTTTTGTTTGCCCTTGTACTGATATTCAGTAGTATGTACAGTAAATAATATGCTTTTAATATAGGGAGATACATTTGCATTAGCAGAATTCATTCTTACCACGCTTCCTCTTGACTCCAGTGACTTGCTTTGATTTTGCAGAGTGTGCCTTCTTTTTCTCTATTGGAGGAAGAATGAATAAAGATTTATACTTTGAAATGAAACAGTTATTTGATTTGGCTTTTTAACAGTGTGGATGAACAGTTCATTTTAAAAAAAGAATAATGAACAGCTGAGTAAATATAAAATATACAAATGTTCTGAGTTCCTAAATAGGTCTTTGTTTCTTAATACCTCAGAGCATACAGGAAAGAAAATAATACAAAAAGGGTTGGGAGAAGTACTCTGGAAATACATCTGGAATTTCTTGCATGAGGCCCTTCTCATGCATTTCAGTCATCAGCCATAGAATCCGGAATGCTTTATTCACATATAGATCACTGCATAGCTTTTGGGGCCAACCTTCAGATTCCGTTTTTGAACAGAGATGCTGCACACTATTGTGCAGCATTAGCCATACTCAGGTACCATGATAAGCCATAGTTCCTACAGTGTCAAGGATGGGGAACCTCTGGCCCTGCAGCAGTTGTTGTGCTTCAGTTCTCATCATCACCAGCCAGCATGGCTAAATAAACGGTCAGGGCTAATGAGAGTGGGAGTCCAACAGTGTCTGAATGACCACAAGTTCCCCATCCCTGCATTATGTGAGCAAATCGTTTTAAGCTGTGGGCTGTTACACTCCGTCTTTTCTTTTTCACCCACAAGGAGAAAAGCAGAAGCGCACCCCCTTCTCTCTTTAAACTAATTACATGGTTTCGAAAGATGTCCTAACTGGTTTGCCTTAATTATGGTTAGTGAGAACAAGCCAGGACCAATCTGTGGTTTCAGATCCCTGCTTGTTCTGAATTTGAATTTAAACAAACAACGCATAGTTATTACCAATCCCCTTTTAAAGCCGGCTATGTTAGTGACCATCATCACATCCTGTGGTAACAAATTACATAGTTAAATGATGTGTTGCCTGTCTTGAATCTCTTGCCATTCAGTTTCATTAAATGATTCCAGGTTCTAGTACTATGAGAAAGAGTACTATCTGTCTCTTTTCTCCATTCCATGCATAGTTTTTATAAACTTATATCTTGTTCTCCACTATTCACTTTTTTCTAAACTAAAAAGTCTACAATGTTGTAACCTTTCACCTTAATGGAGTTGCTCATTTTGGTTGTCCTTTTCTGCTCCTTTTCCAACTACACAGTATCTTTTCTGAGGTGTGGTGACCAGAAATGTGCATGGTATTGTGGTTGGTCTGGGGTAGTAGGATTATTCAGTGCACCCCATATTCTCTTTAGGCATTCTTTCAGTGTGTGAAGGTGAACTTTCTTTGTTTTCCCTGGTTTGTGAGTACAGTTTCTTATTCACAACAGCCACTGTGACAAGCAGCTATCTGACAGGGCATTAACTTGAAACAGTGAATTTACTGTGTGGGTGGTGTTGGTATAATTGCCATCACTGGCCCAGTTCATATGCCACATTAAACCATATTTAAGACTATAAACTGTTTAATATGAATGAGCAGCGTGCTGCTCAGAATTACAGAATCATAGGATTGTGGAGTTGGAAGGAACTCTGAGGGTCATCTAGTCCAACCCCCTGCAATGCAGGAATCTAAGTGTGCTCCCAGTGTGCTCCTCTGCAGATGAAACAAGCCAGAGTCTTGTCATGTTTGTGTTTCTTTCCCTGAAACAAAATATGAGTGTTAACCAATGTTAAAGTTTAATGTGATGTGCAAACCACGCCTCTGTATTAAATGCACTTATTTTGGAGAGTGAGGGTAAGGGAATTCAGTTTACTTGGAAGTAATACAAACTCTATTGTATTCAAATTATCTAAAAATGTGTTTTGTAAGATTCATAATTATTTTGCATTAGTCAGTAAAATCTAATTATGCATGTTGTGTATTTTCATAATGCAGGGACATATTTCTGGCTTGGGGTATATCACAGATCAAACCCAGCCTAGTGATGTCAACAAGATGCAGTGGCGTACAACTTCTGGGCTACTTTGGCCATAAGAGAAATCTGGCCAGAAGGTGAACGTGATGACGGCCTGGTCTATGGTGGAAAGGCTGAAAATGGAGAAGAGCCGCTCCCAAGAAGAGAGGACTAAAGAGCAAGATGGTGGGGATCGTAGCACCGAATCTGAGGAATGGACAAGCTCTGAGAGTGAACCTGAGCAGCCTGGCTTCAGGAATAGCTGCAGCAAGGCACAGTTGAGGGATAAAGAGATTTCCCACAAACCACATCGACAACTTTGCCGCTCTCCTTGCTTGGATCGTCCGAGTTTTTCACAGAGTAGCCTCCTTCAGGATTTGAAACCGGAAGAGAATAAAGCAAACTTGAGTCAAGAATATCAATCTAAACTTGATTTTGCTTTGAAACTGGGGTATCCTGGAGATCAGATTCAAGCTGTGTTGAACAAGCTGGGGGCAGATGCTCTTACCAATGACATTTTGGCTGAGCTTGTGAGACTTGGAAACAAGGTTGAGAATGAAGGACAAGCAAGTAGTGGAAATGCCACTGGTCCTGCAGGTACAAAGGAGGTTGCTAGTCCTGAGCTGTCTCTGGAAGATGAGGTGGTAGACAGCTCTGACAACTTGAGGCCAATCGTTATTGATGGAAGTAATGTGGCAATGAGGTACTTTAGTAGTAATAGAATACTTCTAAGAAATGCACTAATTATGCTGCATATGTATTTGTTTGTTTTATTTCATATACACACTTTGCTTTTCTGTTATTAAAAACAACATCCAATTAAAAATGATAGCATAATAGATTTTAAAAGGCAACATCTGTAACTCAACTGAGATAGCCCTTTTAATCAACCATGGGAGCTCAAAGACCTGTTGAAGAAGATGAGCCTTAAGTCTACACACTTGTATTTAAAAACTAAAAATTGAGCTGTTTACAGTGGCGTAGCGTGGGTTGTCAGCACCCGGGGCAAGGCAAGTAATTTGCGCCCCCTAAGTGAGAGAGAGTGAGTGAGCCAGGTAGGGGTAGAGAGCTCCGAGTGCGAGCGCCCCCCCCAGATGCTGCACCCAGTGCGGCCGGCCCCCCTGCACCCCCCATGCTATGCCACTGGCTGTTTAATAGATTTTTAGGGCTGTAGTCCTGTATATGTTTCTCTGAGAGAATTCAGTGGGGCTCCATCTGAGTAGACATACATAGGACTGTACTGTTCATCTTGTACAGTGTATCACAGAATAGAAAATCTTTCCTTTTACTTGAGTAATTAAAGTCCAATGGAATTTAAAGGCCTATTCTTATAGGTAAGAATGGAATCACTTTAGTAAATTCTCAAGGCATTATTCACTCTCTGAAATACATGTCTGAAAAGCAGTTTAAAATTTACAGACAATTTGCTGAGCACAAGAGTTGTAGCAGGGGTGGTTACAACCCATTGAAATAAAATTGTGTCTTTCTAAAGTGGGTACTAAACTTCCAGAAAAGGTTTCTTTCCTTCTATAAGTCTGCTTAATGCTATTTGCTAAACTACATTTTAGTCCCATCCATATTCCAAAGAGCTCAGGGTGGTGTACATAGTCTAATGTGAGGTAGGTTAACCTGAGAGACAGTGAGTGGCTTTAACTGAGATTTTCCTAGTCTTAGTCCAACACTCTGCCCCACTACATAACACTAGTCTCTCTGGCTTTATGTATTTTAGAAAAAACAAATCTCATTGCAGTACTTATGATCAGTACTTGCTAAACTAACTTGTTCTGTTTTTCAGTCATGGCAATAAAGAAGCATTTTCCTGTCGGGGGATTCAGTTAGCTGTTGACTGGTTTCTGGAGAAAGGTCATAAAGATATTACAGTGTTTGTGCCTACATGGAGGAAAGAGCAATCTCGACCAGATGCACCAATTACAGGTGGCAAATCAAACATACATTTGTTTTCTTCAATTGCCATTACTAGGACGAGGATAATTACTGTGCTAGACACTGGCTTTTCTTGGAATGGGGCCAAGGACCTGAATCAGAGCATTTGCTGTACACACATGCATGGTAGTTGCTCATATTCTAAGCCACTAGATTGTTATTTTTTCTTAATTTTTTTACACTTCATACTTTAAATCCGTGCTGCACATAAGCCTGCAAAAGTTACTAGCCTGCAGAAGTATTAACAGTCCTTCTGAGGGATGACAAAGGAGCAAAAGTCTATGGCATTTCTGTGCTGGGAATAGAGGACTAGCCTACTTAGTTTCTGTTCTGGGCATGGATGAGAGGGCTTGAGTGCTCCATTCCTCCTCTGCCATTCCACTTCACCTACATGCATTTTCCCCTCACCTGTGTCTGCAAGGTCATTCCATACAAGGCAGCTTTACAGTTTTTTGTTGCATAGACTGAACCATAATATAAAATGTCATGGTGTATAAACTGAAACAAGTTTAACTGTGAGATTATTCCCCAGAAGGGAGACTCTTCAGCCTTGTGCCCCAAGGTGTTGCTGGAGTAAAACTCCCATTATGTCCAGCCATCTCAACCAGTGACTAGGAATGATGTGAGTTGCAGTCCAAAAATATCTGGGGACCCAAGATTGAAGTCCACTGTTACAGAGCAAAGCACTGGCACACCAACTTTTATGCTCTTGGGGAGTGTGCAAACACTTCTTCTTGTACAATTCTTGAAGAATATCTCAGATACTGAGATAAACATAGAGAGCAAGCATATTTCTATATAAGGGACTTTGCTATTAACAGTTTCTTATATAACCCTGGTTTTTCAGATCAAGATATTTTACACAAACTGGAAAAGGAAAAAATTCTTGTTTTCACCCCATCTCGAAGAGTTCAAGGGAGACGGGTTGTCTGTTATGATGACCGTTTCATAGTGAAACTGGCGTGTGAGTCTGATGGCATCATTGTGTCAAATGACAATTACCGTGACCTTCAAAATGAAAAGCCAGAATGGAAGAAATTTGTAGAAGAACGGCTCCTGATGTATTCTTTTGTGAATGATAAGTAGGTTTCTTTATTTACAAGTAGAATAGTAATGCTTAATGTTTATCTGGTGAGATTTGAGTATTTGACTTCGTCTACATTTTCATAGATCCTTAAACAGAAGCTGCCTGGTAGGGCAATGTAAGACCATTAGTGACTCCCTTTTGTTATTCTCTTTTAAACTAGAATGCCACACACCTATTTCATTTTTCTGCACAGAGAAGGGACTCCAGTCCCCTATTGATTTCGATTGGCCTTTCTCCACTGGTTCCTACTCTACAGTTTCCTTTCTGAGATGGTGTGGGGGGAGCTGATAGAGATTAGCTTGCCTTCAGGCACCTGCCAAGCTCATAGCTATGGCCAGGTTCAAACTGGGTATTTCCCAGCCTTTTCCTAACCATTGTATTGTTACCAGTCTACCATGTCAGGTAAATTTAATACTAGCAGGTAAAACTGGTCTCTTGGTTTTTCCAGGTTTATGCCACCAGACGACCCATTAGGACGCCATGGCCCCAGCCTTGAAAATTTCTTAAGGAAAAGGCCTGTTGTTCCTGAACACAAAAAGCAACCTTGTCCTTACGGTGAGTGTGTCACACTTGACTATTTTGGGAATCAGAATAATAAAATTAATAACCTTGATAAAAAGCAAAAAATCATAGTGGGTCATCTGAGGTGTTTTCTGTATTGGAAATCATGTAAGAAGCTTGAGTAGGACAGAAAGGTGTAGCATGCTTCTAGAAGTGTGGGGACTGCTGAGTGCACTGCTGAGTTAAGAAAAAAAAGCTTTCATGGTTAAACCAAAGACATGGTATTAGGTAGGTAACTGGCTCTTGCTTGCTTGATCTTGGCATTGCGTACGTGTGGCTGGGAGCAGGGTGGGGAGAAAAGAGGAGGACTCGGAGAGGGACTGCAGTTTGGGCAAAGAGTTAAATTTCCTCTTACCTCTTTGCCACATGTGACCCAGAACCATCCTTCCCTTCTCTTGCACCCTGCAGAAACTAAGAATGGAAGGGCCAATCATGTGTTTAATGTCACATCTTGGCTCTGTTAATTTAGAGCAGTGGTTCCCAATCCGTAGACCACAATCACATAATGAAAACTACCATAGATGTATCAACATTTTCAAAAGTAGGGGGTCTATGGCTTGGCTTTTGCAGTACTTAGCTAATTGTGAACCACTGATTTAGAGGGATGTTTACATGCATTAGCATTTCTTGGAAAAGTCTGGAAGAAAATACAGTTGGAACTTAATTTGGTGTTTGGAAATATTTTCAAAGCTCTCCTGTGCTCAAAAAGTCATTTAACTAATCCAGTATTAAGGCCACAGAGAGTCAATTAACAGCTGTAAACCACCCTTGATTATTTTTTTTAATTAAAGGGCAGTATTCGTTAAATAAAGTTTTAAAGCCCAGTTAGATATTTGACAATTAAACCTCTCCCTCCCCTTGTTCATTTTCAAGCTCCCAGCGCATCCACAGTCAGCAGATCCATTCTGTTAAATTCCTAATGAGTGACACTATGTGGTCTTGGCTGAGAGACTTTTACTGCACAGTCTGCACAGTCTAATGTGCATGTCTACTCAAAAGCAAGTCCCACTGAGTTCAATGGCAATTACTCCCTGTTGTGCATAGACCTGTAGCCTAAGGGATTTACATATTCACACTTGCATTTCACTTTCATAACACCTTTGTGTCAAAAGTTAATCAGAGAGATGGTGACCTAAAGGCACATCATGTGCACGTTTTAAAATATGATAATGCATGAAGCTGACTGTTTAAAAATAAAATCAGGGATCATGTGGAAGATCTTGGAGAGTTGCTGCCAATCATAGCAGACAGTGTTAGGCTTGATAGATTAATGGCCCTAATCTGTATATGGTGATTCCCTGTGCTTCTATGAGTGGGAATTTAAACCTGAGTCTTTATTAGACTCACACCAGTACCTGCTCTTGCTACCTTCAGGGAGGTTTATATCACTTAAGTAAGATAAATAGATACAGTGACTGGATTGTAGAACATATATAGCACATATTTGGGTCTGCTAACAAAGGAAATGTGATGGCTGTTAATAGTTCATTCTAGCATTGACTGTTACAATGCATTTAAAGGACCTTGGGTTGTATCCATCTATGTCATGTTCCAAATTGACTCATTGAAATCAGTGAACAAGTTAAGAATTGTATCCAACTAAGTTTTATTCATAGTAGATTCACTGAAATTAATGGACCCAAATTAATCATTTTCATTAATTACAATGGCTTACTTTGACCAGGGCTAGCTAGCATTGGCTATAACCTTTACTCATTACTAACTTGAGTCCATTGAGTTCAGTGGGTCTAGTCCAGGCATTCCCAAACTCGGCCTTCCAGCTGTTTTGGGACTACAATTCCCATTATCCCTGACCACTGGTCCTGTTATCTAGGAATGATGGGAATTGTAGTCCCAAAACAGCTGGAGGGCCGAGTTTGGGGATGCCTGGGCTAGTCTAAGTATGACTCTGACACAACCTCCTGTGCTTAGCTAGATATTGCTTGCAAAGACCATGCCTAATATGGGAGATTTTTCCCCAACAGGGAAGAAATGCACCTATGGACACAAGTGTAAATATTACCACCCGGAACGAGCAAACCAGCCCCTGAGATCCGTAGCTGATGAGCTTCGCATCAGTGCCAAATTATCCGCTGTGAAAACGATGAGTGAAGGAGCACTGGCTAAATGTGGCACAGGAGCAGCCCTTTCCAAAGGGGAAATAACTTCAGAAGTGAAGCGCATTGCTCCCAAACGTCAGTCAGATCCAAGCATTCGGTCTGTTCCTGTGGAACCCGAAGATAGACTTTCAATGGTGCGGAAGTCTGAGGCTAATTCTGTCCCCTCCCTTGTTTCAGCATTAAGCGTCCCAACCATTCCACCTTCCAAAAGTCACGCTGTTGGGGCATTAAATACCCGGTCAGCAAGCAGCCCTGTACCTGGTTCATCTCAATTCACACATCAGAAATCCTCACTAGAACACATGGCCAGTGTACAATATCCTCCGATCCTGGTCACTAATAGCCATGGCTCTTCAATGAACTATGCAGATCAGTACCCAAAGTATGAGTCTTTGGGGGACCATGGCTATTATTCAATGCTCAGTGACTTCTCCAATTTGAGTATTAGTAGCATGCATAGCACAGATTACTATGGGGCTGATGTAGACCAAAGTTTATACTCAAGAAATTCAAGCCCCTGTCCAGACAGTTGCTTAAGCCATACAAGCAATGATTCGTACTCCTCATATACAGACTTATATATGGGTCTGGGGGATGGGAGCCCAGAAGACAGTGTGAAGGTTCACCGACTCCCACCTCAAAGCCGCCTTCAGCCTTTCTCCCATGGTTATCATGAGTCCTTAACAAGAGTTCAGAGCTATAGCCCTGAAGGGTCTAAACATATTCACAAGCATTCACTTTCCCATTTAGCACTGCACATCCAACACCCAGTTGTTGGGGCTAGGTCCAGTTGCCCAGGGGACTACCCTGTGCCTCCAAACGTTCACCCATCAGCCACTACCCAGCCAAGTCGTGCCCTCGTTATGACGAGAATGGATAGCGTTTCTGATTCGCGTCTTTATGAAAGCAATCCCACACGACAAAAAAGGCCACCGCTCTGTCGAGAGCAGCATGCCAGTTGGGATCCATTGCCATGTCCGACCGATACCTACCCTTACCATCCCTACCCACTGAGCAACAACCTCATGCAACCATCTTATGAGCCTGTAATGGTGAGAAGTGTTCCAGAGAAGATGGAGCAGATCTGGAGGAATCCTTGGGTTGGAATCTGTGGTGATCCACAAGAACCACACATAATCCCAGAGCATCAGTATCAAACCTATAAGAATCTCTGTAATATTTTTCCAGCTAGTGTTGTCCTCTCGGTGATGGAGAAGAATCCCCACATGACAGACGCACAACAGTTGGCAGCTATGATTGTTGCCAAATTGAGAACAGGACGTTAATAAAGATCCTTCATTTTGAATTTCTAAAGATAAATAATTGAAAATTCTGTACATTCTGGAGATCTCTAAAAATGACAGGTGATATGCTCTGTTTGTTAAAAGGTTTTAATTGCAGTATACAATTCTGTATATTATTGTAGTGATTATATTTAAAATATGCATGAAGCATTTTGAAAAAGCAGATTGTATAATAAATATGAGTATTTAATGATTTTTAAAGCAGGGATTTTTGAAAAAGGCATTTTACAGGAAGTGCATACCTTATGCATGGATGTATCATTTATTGAATCTAAAAAGGTCATATGTTGGTATGTCCAAAACAGGTCCTTCAAAACAGCAATTATATTGCATGACTCATTGTATAGTCTTCAGTATTAACTGACATATGTTGCTCCAACATAACATTGGGTTTTTACAATAAACTCTGTGCACTTGGACATCCTCACAAGCAGAAGCCTGCTCTTCTTAAATATCCTTCACAGAACTACAATAAAACAAGCCCAGTCAGTTGACATGCCTTGTGTTTCACAGAGGGCTTTTGCACCTATCTAGTGGCTCCAGCATGAGGCGGCTTTTGTGGGGAGGCTTAGTTCTCTGGGGAATACACTTTTTGTGCAGTGGAAATACCTTTTTGCACATGAGGAGCATTGCCCAACCTTGAAGGGAATGGGGCTGGGGCTGGGAAGCAGTGAATGTTTCTCTTGGACCTTCTAGATAGCTTGAGCTTCTGCCCTTTGGGAAAAAGAACATGGCCGGCTTGTATACATGTTAATAATTCTCAGCTAAATACTGTTGTAATCTTTGCACTGTTACCATAGGCGTGTACAACACATTTCATTAGGGTGTGCACCCAGGGATTTTAAGTTTTAAGGTGAACATTTCTTGAATATATACTCATACTCAGTCACAAAGGACATTATTTTTATCTATCAAATTAACTAAGGAAACTAAAACTTAATTAAACTTACTTTTTAAAATTAACAACTAAACCTTCCTTTAAATATGCAAACATAGAAAATGAGGCACAAAATGCCAAATCTGTGGTGTAGTGATTACCAAGTGTATACAAAATACAGTCAGTTTTCATGATATGTATGAGCTAATCCAAATTGACCAAAGCAGATTAAGATTTTTTCATGTTCCTGTTGTGTAGAATGGGACGTTGCCCACCAGATGTGAGTAACAGGTGGTGAGTGGAGCTCTGACAGAGACAGAGCTCTGAAACAGAAACAGATACAAGCAGAAAGAAAAGGCTGGAATGGATATGCAACTTCTTCTTGTCCACTTCTAGAGACAAACACAGGCAGACACTGCCTATACATTCCAGTTTTATTCCAGCCTTTTAATCCTGCCTGTGTCTCCCTTCATCTGCTTCCCTACTCTCCTCTCTTGCACCTTTGTCTCTCCCTGCCCCACTGCTTCCCCAGTGGCAGCTGAGGGAGCTGGGTTGCCACTCCATACTCTATCCTCATCACAATCCAGTTTTGTTTTGTTTTGTTCTGCTAAGCACACCAGCATGCCCTATGTGCACGCCTATGGCTTTTACAGATCATTACAATTGGCATTTCTAGCCTTTTCAGTACAGTCCAGAAAGCAGAGAAGTTGTAGAATCTGCAATCTGAATTCTGCTTTCCTGTTCTTGTGCGTTGACCAAAGACATGCCGAGAACGTGTGCTGGAGGATGCCAATGAACAAATATGCAAAGTAGTTTTAAAAATCCAGTTCATTTTTATTAGTGTTGGACAGCAGGCTAGTTTTCAAATGGGTGCTCTAGAATTGGGTTTACTGCAAACTTGCTTCAGTTTTGCACTTTGAAATCCATGCAAAGGTGAGCATTTGCTTCCTGGAACTCCCTGTTTGACAGGCCAGAATCATCATTCTATGGGTGGCAATGTTTGCACATGAGTATCCTTTGCTCCAGGGTGGGCAATTTAGTAGCTAAATGTCTCCTATAAGAGGCATTTATGGCGGTGGTGGCTCTTTTGTTTTCTTTTTTAAGGCTGCACTGACTGGACACCCTTTTTAAATCCAAATGTGTATTTCAACATTTTGAACCACTACTAACTCGATATGTCTCGAGCTAGGACTTGTTGACTTCTACTGTAGTTTTTTTTCATGAAAGTCGAGAAGGCCTGGTTTCTGGCCTTTTGTTTCTTCATGAGAAGGTGTGACACTGCCTAAATGTTTCTTACTATGAAACACACGGAACGTGAGGCTGCAGTCAGGGTTGTTTCTGGTGTTTTGATAATGGCTTGCAAGCTGCTTTTGGGTTATATGTTGATCCCAGTCTAAAAAAACCCAAAGGAAACCCCAAGCCCTCTACTTGATTGATTGCACTAATCCTAAAATGGCTGCTGGTGGCCCATTTCTATTTTGTGTTGAGTACACTTCAAGAGGGATGTGCTTGCATTAAGTTGGACAGCTCAACAGGTGGTAATAATTCTGTCACATGCTGATCCAGTCTGTTTGCCTACAACCACACAGGGTGCAGAGTGTTTGGGCTCAGGATGGGCCAGGCAGTGCCTATAACAGCATGCAGCACAATGGTGGCAAAAGGGTGGGCAAGCAAACTTTGCTAGCTTGCTGTGCTTCTGCTTGAGTGCACAACTGAAGACCCAAGACTGTTGGTAGGTGTTGTCTTGACACACACTTCTAAATGCAGTACAAGATGAGGATATTGGTTTACCTACAGTATCTTTGTAATCTCAAGGTCCCCTGCCTTCATGATGCCATAATCGGTTTTCAAAAAGTGGTGCGAGTTCAAATGCTGAGCTCAAAGCGAGTAACAATAATCACAGTAGCATTAAAAAACATGAAACATTGCAGTCTATATTATATCAAATGCAGTCGCATGCAGGTAAAGGAAACAACAAAATCATACTAATTGAAACAATTACTACTATTCAATAGTAATTCAAAATATAGGAAAGAGTGGCTGACCACCAGCCCTGTGCCAGATGGCATTCTTTGGGAAGGGGCTGCTGCTTCACTCAGTGCAGGGAGCACACTCCCAGGCATTTATTTTCAAGTGTTAGAATACCTGGGGGTCTAATGATGAAACACAAAAGTTGCTGCTTTTTCCAGGTAGCTACAGAAAATTGTTGCTGAAGAACTAGTGGCAAACAGGTGGTTTGTCATGGTTGCAGGTTGGGTTTCAGCAGGAGGCTGAATCTGCATTAGAACAGAATGGCACACACCATGTTGGCTTACGGTTATGTGGGCTGGTGTCCAGAACATCAATTGTCCCCTCTCATCTTTTAAAAGCAAACAGCAGAAATGCAGATCAGCCCTGTAGCTTTAATCTGTGCACCAACATAACCCTTAAAGATACCTGCATTTAAATCTGGAAAACATCTTTTAAAAAAATAAAATTGGCCAGCTTTTGTCAGAATGGGATTCCTTTATTGTTGCATTTATTTTATACTTCCTTCGTGTGGTGTAAAAGCAGCTGAGAGCAACGCCTCAAATATCCAGAAACGACCTTTTGTTTGTTGATACAAATTGTATCTTTCTTGATTGTATAAAAAAAAAATGTACAAAAGCCATCTCTAGATTAGCTTAAATATTGTATTTTCATCACTATGTTTGTGGCACTGTGTGTCACAGGGGAGTAGCCCATCACAGATTATGAACCTTTTTATTTAAAATGGGCACTTAACAATTTATAGAAAAAACAAAGGTAACTTTTCAAATCCACTTTATTACTATAATGTGCACAGCTAGTGTGTGTGTTTAAGAACACTACTCTGCATAGGTTATATTAAGTCTATTTATTAAATGAATGCATTCCTGCAATTGATATTTTTTGTAAAGCATCAGTGTTAATAATATTGATGTTAATATTTGTACAGTTACAGTAAAATTGCTGTACATCCTGCTTTTCTTCTTAACAAAATAACTATTGTATGATTTAGGTCCAATAAGGAATTTTGTGTGCTCACAATTTCTTGCATGGAAATCAGTTTCTGTATGTATAAAAATGGATGTTCTCCATTTTATTCCTATGTTAAGGCAAACTTGCAGGGGATCTTGGAAGAGTCTTTTTAGCAAACCTAATGTTGGGCTGAAATTACCTTGAGAGCTTTTATTGGGTTCTAAAATATTTTACTGTTCCCGTCAGTAAATGTTTTTTGTTTGTGTGCATGTGTCAGGAGGTTTATATATTGTTTTGTTCTGTATTGAAAAACATTTCAAGCCTTTTTTGAATGCTTTCTTGGGAAGAAATATTGCTGTGAAGTTGAAGTGGTTTACTGTAACACAGCTTTTCCTAAACAATGGTTCCCAAATTTTTCTGCTGTACAAGGAAGAAGTGAATGAAAATTTTGAAGCAGTATGCAAATCTTTTGCCTGTCAATTATCTTTCATCAGTGAAACTTTTTTATATATGTTTCCTTTATGCCTTGATCCACTTCTCTTTTTCTCTTTCTCTCTTGGGAGACTTTCCCCATGCCAGTTCAAAACTGACATTTCACTGCCTTCATCTCTTATTGCAGAATTTCTTCTAAAAGTAGAAGGGATGGTATAAAAACAAGTCACAGTCGCCTACATTGTAAATATAAGACTTTACTTTAAAATGCTCTTTTTGAGAGTACAGTATTTAATTTTTTTAAATTGTGTACCAAATAACTACAGAATATGTATCTATATATAAATTTAAAATAGCCCAGGTAACAGCAATCTTTCACTTGTAAAATATTTTAATTTTCTCTTAATTTATTATTGAAGAGTAGTTAATGTTCAGTTAGGCAACTGAGTTGTGTCTGAAAAACCCAAAAGGTAGGTTAGGAAGCAATCTTAAGTAATTTTGTAAATATTAAATGTTGTTCTGTGTTTCTGCTTGTACACACATATTTGACTACTATTAATCCTATTGTACTATTGAGCTGCAGTATTTCGCTTTTCTTAATTTGTAGAACTAAACATAACTGTTTAATTGTTGTAAAAATTTATAAAATCTCTTTGGGTTTTTTTGTTGACCCAAATATAATGTAAGTCTCAATGACAAAGAGTGAAGATAGACTTTACAGCCCATTGCCCTGGTCCAGCAAGAGCAATGCAAACAGGGAAGCTGGCTTCCACAAGTGCAACAGAGGCAGGTGGTACATCATGATAGCAATCTAGACTCCATTGAATTAGTTGGATGTGCTGTTTTATGCCGAAGAGAATGCACATCCCCATGTCGGGGCAGTGCAGCTACAGCTGGGTCAGGGCCAGCATGTGGTGTCTGTAATCAGTGTAATATTTTGTGCAATGTTTTTCTATACAGCTGCATGTTTCAGGCATCCACTGGCATGGGCATGTGTGTAAGTTTTGTAAAAAGTTTTATATATATATATATATTAAATGGCTGAGATAATCGCCAAAGCAACATCTTGCAGGGGACAGAAAACATGCTTTCCCTTTAAAATGTGAAAATCAATGCTTACACAACAGTGGCCCTGTTTTCATGTAACTGCAAGCCAAAACAAGAATGAGCAAGCGTGTGGGTACCCAGAGTGAAAATCTGGTCTTTCAGCTGATATGCTACCTGGAGCCAACCTTACCTGCAGCTAAGCCATAAGTATGTTGGATGTGGGTCTGAGCTTTGTGGCCTGTCTTCCCCCAACAAACCATGAGTGGTAAAGAAAGAACATACCTTATATGTTGGGAGCAAGACAAACCACATATAACACTAAGCCAAACTGTGCCTTAGCTCTGGGTATTGTGGTAGCAGAAGAATAGGCAGAGTGAAATGGTTGCGATTTTCACTATGGGTATCTGCTGCTTGCGGAGCCATAGTTTGGCTTAGTGTTAACTATGAACCGGGCCTCTTAAGAATTGTTTTCTTGCAATTCAGTTGTAGACATTTCTCTGCAATACTTAACCAATGACGTACTGTAGTGACTTTCCACAGGGCCTGATACCACTCAGCAGCTTCATAGTACCAATGAAAAAACAGCCTTTTTTCACTAGAGTGGATTCCTTAAGAGGTGTATGGTGTCAGGGCAAGACAAGACAGTGGCACAAATTTGAACCCATACTTGTAGGGTTCACTACAGAGAAGTCATTAGTGCCAAGTTAGTCACTTGGATAAATAATCTGTGAAGTGTTGGTATATTTTGATCTGCCAAATAATAGCTTACAAGCATCACACGTACAGGACTTCTGAATGTTTTTGTGTTCAGCATTACAAAAAATGTTAGAAATCTTGCCAGAAATTGTAGTCAATCAACCACTGCTGATGAGTCACCATGTTAGCGTAACTTTAATAGGAGCTTTACAGAGTCCACTGAAATAAGTGGATAGTCAGCAACAGAAATAAGTGGATATTCAGCAATCACCAAGTTCGTGACTTTGAGGATCTTTTAATTTTCTGTGACAGGGCTGCAATGTATATGCGCATGTGCACACTAGTACAAATGTCACTGTCATTTCATGCTCAAAGAATGCAAGCACCCATTTATTTATGAAACAGCTTAATAGTCACTTCCAGCTTGCTTGGATTTTGACCTTTAATTTTCTGGTGAGTGGTGTGGGCAGCAAATATTTCTGTTTAAATGCATCTCAAAGGTGGTTATGGTGGGGGCGGAAGGGATCCTTGTTTTCTCCACTCCACCCCATTAGCAGGTTTTGTGTAGATGTTTTGTATCTAGGCATTTATATTAATGTATTCAATAAACTGAGTCACTTGGTCAGTACCTCTCAAGTCTCTTGTGCATTTCTTTTTGTGGCCAATACCCGCCAGTCTAAATCTTGCAAATTTGAAGTTGTATTGAAGCCTTAAGCCATAGGTCTTAAACCAGTGATTCAGGACCCATGTGCCAATCTCTCAGCCAGGCCTGGAGGATGCAACCTTTTATTCTCTTTCCTTTTGTGAGATTTTCCTCCCCATTTTGTCCCAGCCCAGCCTTGCCTCCCCACCCGCTGCTGGAAACATGCTGCCTGGCCTTGGAAGAGGATTTTCATCCTATTTCAGCAGCCTTGCCTCCCCACCCACTGCTGGAAACATGCTACCTGGCCTTGGAAGAGGATTTTCATCTGATTTCAGCTGCCTCACTGATCTTCACAATACAGTGGGTTGTGGCAGGAGGCCTATAAACCATAGAAACGAGGAGCTTGAATTACTGCTGGTGGGGTAATCAGTGAGTGAATCCAGTAGCATCCAATTCTAGAGCAAGCCTTGTAATGTGATGGTTTATTCACTAATAAAGGCTGCTACTCCACTTGATTGCTACATTTGATTTGGAATAGAGGGGTTGGGCAGGAAGAAAAGGTGGGAATCCCAGTTGAATTGAATGGGTTCATTCATGCATTAAGTCTACTGAGGGTCCAGTCCCCTTTAATGTTTTATATCTCCCTGTCTCTCATCCATCCAAGTTTGGATCGGATTTCTATTGCTTTGCTGTATGGGTTAAATTCTCTGAAGAAATATAATTTGGGAATAAGAATTCATGGGTTCAGCTAGGGTAGGGCTTATCTTTTTCCTTCCTCCCCAGGTAAAGGTATGCTGATAGGATTGTGGGCAATTTCACAGCCTGATCCTTTGGGATAGTTTACCCAGGTTTAACCTTCATGTGCTTCCTCCTCGAGAGGTCCAGAGGGTGGCAACATAACAGGCCTTCTCTGCAATGGCTTCTTGTCTGTGGAATGCTCTCCCCAGGGAAATTCGCCTGGTGCCTTCATTATACACCTTTAGGCGCCAGGCAAAAATGTTCCTTTTATTGGGGGGTGTTATTAGGTGGTTTTTATTTTGATTATACATATTGTGGTTTTTATGTTGAGCTTTTCTGTGCCCGCCCTGAGACCTCCGGGTATGGAGTGGTATATAAATTCAATAAATAATAATAACCATGGATGGGGCTTAGGATTGCTATGCATTTCCTCAATAACACCTGAGGGTTATTGCAGTTTTTCACCCAAATCTGAAATGGCAATTCTAATCCAATTTACTTGGGAACACACCCCACTGAATAAGTAGGACTTTCTTCTGAGTTGGCATGGGTAGGGATGCACTGGAGTGCTTGCTTACAGAATGATTAGCCATCTTGCTCACTGCCTTCCCATAAATGCTTATTCAGAAGCAAGGTCCATTCATTTAAATGGAGCTGGCTCCAAATTAAGTGGGCTTAGAAGAGCAGCAAACAATTGCAGACTATGTTAGGTTCTGAGGGTACTAAAGCTACTACAAATTTTCCCCTCTACCATTTGAGTTCAGGAAAGTTGACACAAGAAGAGGACAGATGGACAGGTGATTGTGAGAAAGGGAAAGAAGGGAATCTATTGAAGGTTACAGAAATAGGAGGCTCAGCTTCCAAGGGAGTGATAAGTTAATATGCAAGTTCTATGCCTGTCTACTTCTATTTCCAAGGCCTATTTATTTTAATAGGACTAACTCCCAAGTAAATATGTACAGGACTGTAATTTTTATATTTCAATATTTGATTGAAGATTTATATTGTTTAGTTTCTTTTTAAAAAAGAATTGTAAAATGGCAAGACTTTCACATGTAGTAAACAAAATAGCATGCCAACACCTCAGCACATGATATGTAATAATAATAATAATACTAATAATTTTTATTTATACCCCGCCCTCCCCAGCCAAGGCCGGCCGGGCTCAGAGCGGCTTACAAGCAATTATAAAACAAGTTGAATGATTACAACTTAAAAACAAAATTAAAATACAGCATTAAAATACTGAAACATTAAAATATTAAAATATTACAAATGTGGAACATGTATGTATGTGACACTTGTAGTAGTGCCAATTCCGCACAGTATATTCTTCTGCACCACCAGCACATCATCCACTTGTTAGAATAGTTGAAGGTCATTTTTGATCTTATGGAGATCGCTCTGGGTCCATAATAATCCCTCAGCAGCAGAGCCACCCCATTCTGAAGAGCTGTAGGAGAAGGGGGGAAAACAGCTTTAAAAACAAATTTTATAAGCAAAAGGGACACAAACACATACCATACTTTTTGTGTATAAGACAAGGCTTTTTATTGTAAAATAAGGTTTAAAAACTGGGGGCGTCTTATACACGGGTAGTGGGTACAAATCCCATCATCCCTAGCTAGCAGGACCATTGGTCAGGGGTGAGCTGGGGACCCAAGCTTGAGAAACACTGGACTTACCTATTGAACTCAACTTAAGATATACTAGTGAAGAGTGTTTCACAACTATAATCACCTTTGCCCTCTCCCAGGATTAAATAATGGTTACTTCTGAATGTAAATTCCACATTGCACACACAGAAAACTGCCCAACAGCTGTTTTGTTCTCTGGAGGAAAGAAGGAATTCCCCTAACAAAATGCAAATACAACCAACAAGGGACCTGCCAGTGCCAGAGCAGAAACTGATATTTTAACAGAACCATCCTTGGTTAAAAAGTAAATACAGCAGAAGGTGCTTCCAGACAACTTGTTTATTCAGCATTCATGCATCTCTGTTTGACTATATTAGAAACATTTATTCTGGATTGTTTTCAAGGGTGATAGAATATTCTGCTACAGAAAAACTGTTATCCCACACTTTCCAGAGCCCAGCTTCGGCTGGGGAGGGCGGGATATAAATAAAATTTATTATTATTAATAATAATAATAATAATAATAATAATAATAATAATAATAATAATAATAATAATATTATTATTATTATTATTATTATTTCCCCATCACCTTCCTTACTGCGAGAAGTCAGATCTTTTGGGGAAGTGTGTTTGCTGCATAAGACTTCCAAATCAACTATAATTTTGCAAGCTGAATTCATCAAGATGTGATTTAATCCCTCCTGGACACAGTGACAGCCTGGGAACGCCCTGTGTTCAGCAGGATTTGCCTTCCCTGCTTCTTTACCATCAAATTCGCAAAGTGGTCAACAGCATGTGCAAACCACAATGAAAAGTCCAGCTACAGCTTCATAAAGCTAACATCAAATCAGCCAGTAAGACAGGCAAAATCTGCCCTCCTAAAATTAACTGGCCACTGTGAGGTAAGGTTGGGGTATGCACCTACATATTGGGGTAAGTATCTCAGGTATTCCACACCCAAGATGCTTAGAGCTGGTAAACCTGCTTAAGGCTATAGCCTTAAGACACATGCCTGCTTCATGTCTGCTGTGGTTTCTAATATCTAACCCCATCAGGCCACATGTGTGTTTTCAACAAGTAGGGACAAGAAAAGGTTGAAAAGCACCTACAAATTTCCCTAAAGCCAGATATAGTAAAGAATTCCCCTAATGCTAGAGTCGAGCCAATCTCATGTTCAAGCTTCTGCATAATCATAGATAAATGAGAGCCTTGGAGAAAAGGTGGAATAAAAAGGTAGCAAAATAAAACATCTTGCCCATGTCTCAACATGGCTTGCCAAGTAACACAAATGATTTAACGGAAGATATGCCGTGGGGCTGGTCTACATATGCAGCAGAGCAAGTCACCAGAATGCTGGGATGGTAGAGTGGACCGTACCGCTTCAGACAGCTGATAAGGGATGCCGGTTTTGGTACCCAACACCTCATCACAAATCACAATAAAAAACCCCACACAACTGCAAAATGACCTGCAGTTAAACAAAAACAAAAACCAAGCATGCTAGGAAGTTGCTCCCTATTGTGCTAGCATTAAGGTAAAGGTAAAGGTACCCCTGCCCATACGGGCCAGTCTTGACAGACTCTAGGGTTGTGCGCCCATCTCACTCAAGAGGCCGGGGGCCAGCGCTGTCCGGAGACACTTCCGGGTCACGTGGCCAGCGTGATGAAGCTGCTCTGGCGAGCCGGCACCAGCGCAGCACACGGAACGCCGTTTACCTTCCCGCTAGTAAGCGGTCCCTATTTATCTACTTGCACTTGAGGGTGCTTTCGAACTGCTAGGTGGGCAGGAGCTGGGACCGAACAACGGGAGCGCACCCCGCCACGGGTGCGCTCCCGTTGTTCGGTCCCAGCGCCTGCCATTAGGGTAGCATTAAAAATTGTGACGCCTGAAGTCTGCAGTCTGTTCTCCCACACCTGAGAACTCTACCACCTCACTCTGTCTTATGCATAGATCAGGCTGTGGTGCAAAACTGAGTGAACACTACAAGCAGAATCATAGTAGAAACAGAGGACAGGCTGCATCTCCACTATAAGATGAAACAAGGTAGTTGGAAATAGCATACTGAGGCACAGGATGGCAGAATAAAATGCTTGTCACAGCTGGAATGTTTCCACCTCATCACTTTCAGGGATGGGACTGGACATTTTAGTTGAGGGCTGTAGTTCAGTGGCAGCACATCTGCTTTGCATGCAAAGCATCCCAGGTTCAATTCCTGGTATCTCCAGATAAGCTACGAATGTACCTTGTCTGAAACTGGAGAGCCACGACTAGCAGCCTGACTAAAGACAGTTTCCTATGTTGTAAAATGCAGAGAACTAATAACGCTAGGACGCGGGTGGCGCTGTGGGTAAAACCTCAGCGCCTAGGGCTTGCCGATCGCATGGCCGGTGGTTCGAATCCCCGCGCGAGTTCCCGTCTTTCGGTCCCAGCTCCTGCCCACCTAGCAGTTCGAAAGCACCCTTAAGTGCAAGTAGATAAATAGGTACTGCTTTATAGCGGGAAGGTAAACAGCGTTTCCATGTGCTGCGCTGGTGCTGGCTCGCCAGAGCAGCTTCGTCACGCTGGCCACGTGACCCGGAAGTGTCTCCGGACAGCGCTGGCCCCCGGCCTCTTAAGTGAGATGGGTGCACAACCCTAGAGTCGGACACGACTGGCCCATATGGGCAGGGGTACCTTTACCTTTTTAATAATGCTAGACAGCAGATAAAGATGGATAGGCTCTGCACAAAGCAAACTATCTCAACCCCACAGGAGAGACGTCCATCTATGACAGAAAGCGAATGCTGCTGCTTAAGTGCTAGAATGAAGGCTACTTCCTGCTGCAAGGCCCACTTCCACCTGGCCCACGGGGGTGGGGCCCACGCTCACTTGAACAGCGAAGAGGCTCCTGGGAGGCGGAGGGACATTGCTGGAACAACTCTTGGGTTGGGGCAACTGGCTAAAATGTTTTGAACGGTTCTACTTTTGGTTCCTCTGTTTCATTTTTGTTGGGTTGGTGTTGGTTAAGTTTAGTTGGAGTTGGTGGTTACTTTAATTTGGGTATAACTGCAAACTATTTATTATTATTGCTATTGGTTTGTCGCTTGTATAGGAGATTTTGTTTTTAATGTTTGATGTTTTGTTTTTTTATATACACAGTCAGATGGGTGGGATATAAATTTTATTATTATTATTATTATTATTATTATTATTATTATTATTATTATTATTATTATCCTCAGTGAGCATTGCCACTGAGGTAGTCACTTGCAGTCCAGCGTCATTGGGAGAGGCACAGCACTGACTACACTTGTCATAAACTGGACATCATGCTCTTTGAAATTAAAGCACAAAGATTTTTGCCCCTTTCTAGGGCCTGTGTGCCCCTTAAATCTGCTCTAGGGTTTTCCCCAACCCTGTGGAGACTGAGGGATGTCCCCTTGCAGAAATTCTTGCACAGACATGTTAGTTAGACAGCATCTGGGGTTTCTGCGACATCTCTTGGAGCAAATTATAGCCCAGGTAAAGCAAGGCGCTTTGAGGAAGTGAGGTTTCTGCCCATCCTCCAAGTTGCAGGCATCAACAGCTCCCTTCCACAGTGATTTATTTCAGAAATCAGCTGCTTCCTGTACATCATTTGAGCCCTTCCTTTTTTGCCCGCAAAAACAGTTGGGGGAAGACAGAGGGGGTAAACCCATCCTCCCCACCACACAGGGAGGTGCAAAGTCTGTGAGAAAAAGAAACAGAGGACCCAAGGTCCTTAAATTTCCCACTCAGCCCACAGGGGCTTAGTTCTTAAAAGAGACCTCATAACCAGAGTAACCTCTTTCCTTTCCCTTCCTCAAATAGACACATGCGACCACAAAATTCACACCTCATTGCTAAAGCAAGACCTCATGCTTCTCTTTTGCACTCTCACAACAACAGCAGCAGAAGCCACAAACAGTGACGTAAATCAAACCTCAAGGTGGGGGAAAGAAAGGCGGAAAGAGAGAGCATCACATACCCTAAGAGGGATGATGTTTTGAAATGGACTCAAGATAAAAACAAAGAACTCTTGTTAGTCAGTCTATGTTTAGAAACTGAATGGTGGAGGGGGTTTCTGCTACTTATGCAACTGAGGAATGACTGGAAGACAACAGAGAAGAATCTGTAGGTATGAAGAAAAAGGTCAGTGCTATTAACAAATGCATTTATGCTGGTTATGTCCAAACTGAAGCAGACTCATTACTGCTCTTATAATATCCCTGCAAAGCAGGTCACTATTATTATCTTCATGTTGCTGATTGGGATGAAGGGACAGGGTGCTTTCATGGCAAAGGTGAAGTTCAATCCAGATGTTCTGCCACTCCATTTCTTGGCCACTGTACTTAAGCCAACCCTGTGGTTATTATATCAGTTGTGGCAACTACCACAGAAGTGAATGCTTGGGTGTTGAGTATGCAGTCTGGTTGGAGATGTTCTGAGGCAGGGCCTTCTCAGGAGTGGTTCCCTGTTTGTGGAATACCCTTCCTGGTGAGGTGCACCTGTCTACCTTGTTATTAATGGTCAGGAGGGATTTAAAAACATTTGTTTTTATATCCGGCATTGGGTGGCTGAGATTGTTCCCAGCAATCTTGAAATGATTAGCCATCATTTAAATATGTAACTGTTTTGATACATTCTTAACCTTTTAACATGTTCTGAGTTTAATTTTTAATTCTATTGTTTTGCTACTTCAATACTTGCAGCACTGGATGCCTTCTGGTAGAAGGATGGGATGAAGATTTAATTAAGAACCAAAAGCCCATCTAGTCCAGCAATCTGTTCTCAACTATAGCTACTCAATATGCCT